GGTGGTTCGGGTCTCGAGCCACCTTCGCGGCATAGCTCAGGGCTAACTGGCCGCGTCTGAGTCGGAGGGGAGGTACTCCTGACTCCACCTCAAGACGCTCGATTCGAGTACATTTCAGGGCTCCAACACACACACGCAAACAAGCATTCTGCACAGCATCCAAACCTTTCAAACTTGTTCTCGATGCCGAACCATACACGATTGACCCATAATCTACTTTAGACCTAATCAGGGCTTTATATATCATTAGCAAAGACTGTCTATCAGCTCCCCATTTATTACCAGAAACGCACTTTAATAAATTTAGTGCTTTTTGACATTTATTCTTTAACTGACCAATATGGTCTTTCCAATTGAGTCTACTATCAAAAAGTAGACCAAGAAATCTAGCAGAATTTTGGATTGGTATTGGGTGGTTGTCTAGAGTTAGCCTGATGTTCGGCTTTTTCCTATGTGAAAAAAATTACCCCAATACTCTTTCTAATGGAAAACTTAAAACCCCACTGGAGGCCCCAGTTATGAATCATATCCAGTGCCAATTGGATGCGATTTGCTGAGAATTCTGCATTATTGCTGGAGTGCCATAATGCACAATCATCAGTGTACAGTGAGTATTTAAGATTCCGAGGAGGAGCTGGTAAGATGTCATTTATCATACATAGAAATAATGTTGGTGACAAGACACTTCCTTGTGGGACCCCGTTTGCCTGGGCAAAAATGTCCGAAAAAGTGACGTTGTTAGAAAATAATTTGACAGCAAACGTTCTGTCAGAAATTAAATTTTGAATAAAACAAGGCAAGTTTAATGTAATCCAAAAGCATTAAGTTTTCTGAGTAGGCCATATCGCCATGTCATGTCGTAGGCTTTTTCTATATCTAAAAATACTGAAATCAAAAAATCTTTCTTGGCAATGGCCTCTTGAATATGACTGTCTAGTTTTACTAGCTGATCGAGAGTTTGGCGTCCCTTTCGGAAACCGCACTGCTCGTCAACTAGCAAATAACTGGAATTTAAAAAATGCAATAGCCTATAGTTAACAATTCGTTCCATGACCTTGCATAATCAACTTGTCAACGCAATTGGGCGGTAGGAGATGGCAAGTTTGGGATTACCCCCTCCTTTCAATATGGGAATGATGTGGGCGAAGTGCCATGAGTTTGGAAAAGTGTGGCTTTTCCAAATTTCATTGTACACTTCTAGCAACTTAATCATGTCACCATGATTAAAATGCTTTATCATCTCATATCGAATCTCATCGGGGCCTGGGGATGTTCCTCTACAGGCTTCTAGGGCTTGGACAAGCTCATCTATGGTAAGGTCTTTATTGTAATCAAAGTCATCTCCTGTGGCAAAGTGAATTGGTTGCAACTCAGCTGCTTCCTTAATGAGCAGGAAGGCGGGATGGTAGTTTGCTGAGCTGCTTGTATGAGAGAACTGCCTGGCGAGTGCATTAGCAATGTCTCTTGGTGAATCGATGTTATTGCCCTCGTCAATGATGTTTTTAATTTTGAATGATGATTTTTCCTTGTTGATTTTATTGATTGTGGACCAAACCTCTGATATTTTTGTATTGCTATTGATTGTAGAGACAAAGCTCCGCCAGGAGTCTCTTTTTACTTGTCTTATTACTCTACGAGCCCTAGCTCTTGCTTGTTTATAATTGCAAAAATTCTCGTTTGCGATGTTATTTTTGAAAAGCCTGTAGGCCTTATTGCGTCGGCACAGTGCCCTGCGGCAATCTGGTGTCCACCATGGAACTCTATGCTTAACGCTATCTGTTTTTTAGGAATGGATAGCAAAGCTGCTTCTATAATCGAATTGTGAATATTGTTTACTTTATCATCAATGGTTTCTCCAACTAGTTCGAGCTTGACGCTCCTTGTGAAGGCGACCCAGTCTGCTCTTTTTACGTTAAATTTAGGCGCTGAAGGCGTTCTCACTGTGTCGCATGAATATTCAATCAAAATAGGAAGGTGATCGCTTCCCAACGAGTCGTCAATAGTGTGCCACAGGCACTTAGCTGCTACTGATGAAGAGACCAGTGATAGGTCATTAAAGCTCCAATTACCGGTATTATCGTCCACCCGCGTGGGACTACCATCGTTCAGAAGGACTAAATCAGACTCATTAATCAACTTTACTACTTGCTCACCTCTACCATCCACCCGTAGGGAACCCCATAACGTATGATGAGCAATGAAATCACCTAGAATTACTTTTTGTGGCAGACGTTCCTGAAGAGCAAAAAGCTCATAATAGATTATCACTGTATCAGGTGGACAATAAACTGAACATATAGCCAGATACGTGCACTGAAGGTGCTGGCAATGCTCTATTTCTGTAAATACAGTGTTTACTTTATTTTGGTTACTTTATTTAACTCAGGAACAACAATGTCAAGCGAGACGAGAGGCCCCGGGCTCCAGGGTAGCTCAAGTGGCACAAGACTTTGTATTTGTTGTTACTGCGTTTTAACAAGGTGTTGCCTCATCAAAAGTACAAACACGAGTGTCAATAAGAATAACACCATCGATGTTTATAGCACTAGTAAAAAATACTTTTTTTCCCGCCAATTCAAGGAAAGGTAAAATCAGGTAAGGTCTCAACATCTACTAATTGACTCCTTTGTGGCTAAGCACTGCCGGAGCAATCTATGTACCAGACACATTTCACAAAAATGTAAAAGATGAGAACAGCATTTTCCCCATTTTTTTTTTATTCACTTTCCTCGGCGGCAATGGATTAATGGTGTTCTTTATGGTTGCAAATGCTCTTGCAATTGTGTTTGTTGTAGGCGATGTCCTATTATATTATTGTTCTTATTATCATCATTGTTATTGTTATTCATGATAGTAGTAGTAGTATCATTATGTGGATATTGTCATTATCATCATTGTTATTGTTGCTGTTGTTGTTAATTATATTATTATTAATATTATTGATATTGCTGTTGTTGTTATAGTTAGAGTTATTGTTGATATTGTTGTGGTTTCTGTTATGATTACTACTACTACTGCTACATTTGTTATCATTATTGTTCTTGTTATTATTATCATTGCTGCTTATGTTACATATTCCCAAAGATTGGATAATCCTTCTCTTTGATTTTTCTGTCACTGTTTGAGAAGTTCATCTGTTAATTATTATACTAAATAAGAATATAATATAATAGGAAAGCACGAAGACAAATCACAGAAATAAAGTTACTGGTGCTAATGTAATAAATGTACAATAAAAAGCACGAATAATAATTAATTCCTTTATTTTTTCTCCACAGGATTCAATGCTGGGAGACGGTTCAAACACAGGAGATATGAGTAACGAGAAAAAGAAAAACAAAAACTTTTGAAAAATGAAACCTTGCAGCAAAGAAGAGGAAACGCAATCAACAAAGGAATAAACAAACATAGTTTTGAAAGTAGAAGTGGGAAGGACTCCTGTCATCCGAAAACTGTTGGTACTTAAGAAAAATAGAATTAAGAGTGAAAATACTAGAATAAAACGTTCTTCTTTGGTTCATAACACTACTGTTTTGGTTTGTATTTAACAAACAAACCACCCCTCATCATGAATGACGAGAGACCGTTCGAGTGCACGTATTGCGGGAAGAGGTTCCGGTGGAAACAGAACATGAAACAGCACCAGAGGAACCACACGGGAGATAAGCCGTTCCAGTGTTCGTACTGCAGCAAGAGGTTCGACTGGAAGCACAACTTAACGACCCACCTGAGAGTCCACACAGGTGAAAGGCCGTTCAAGTGCACTATCTGCGATAAACAGTTCACCCAAAAAGGTCATCTGAAAGAGCATGCTAGGACTCATAACGGCGAGAAGCCTTTCGAATGCGCGGAATGTCAGAAAAGGTTCACTGCGAAGTCTTCTTTGAAAAAACATGCGTGCATGAGAAAGCCAGCCAAGCGTGAAGTAGCAGTGCCACCGTTTTTGTGTTCTATTTGTGGTGCAGAATTTGAATCGAAGCGAGATCTGAAAATCCACAAAAAGTCTCATGGAGACAAGAAACTATTCAAGTGTTCACACTGTAACAAAGAAATGGCACAGAAATCCCACTTAGAACAACATATGAGAATTCATACTGGAGAAAGACCCTTCCAGTGTTCCTATTGTACTAAGAGATTTGTGCAGAGCAGTGCTTTGTATCAGCATGAAAGATTTCATAGAAACGAGAGACCTTACACATGTTCACACTGTGAGAAAAAATTTAGTCAGAAAGGTCACCTGAGACTGCACGTGAGAATTCACACAGGTGAAAGACCATACCCGTGCATATATTGTGAAAAAAGGTTCTTCGCAAGTTCTGACCTGAAGAAGCATGTGAGACTTCACACAGGGGAAAAGCTGTTTTCGTGTCCACATTGCAAGAAGAAATTCATGTCAAATAAGACTCTATCCAAGCATGTCGAAGCCCACTCAGCAGAGGAGGAATTTGGGACTGCAGATGTTATAAAAGAATCTCGAGTGAACAACTTATCTTCCCTTCCGGGAGGACATCCAGAGAACACCTCTTGTGCCTCGGAAAATGAACGGAATATGTACAGTCTCCGACCCAGGTTACTAAAGTCTTTCGATGATGTAACCGGTGACAGGACCTCAGCGACCCATCAGGAGCCAGAAGAAGCTTTCAGCAAAAAGTCTTTGCCTGAAAAATTCAGCTTCATCAAGTCGGAATATAAACCAATCTTTGTAAAGTCAGAAGAACCAGCTAATGATATCAAATCGTATGACATGTATAGGACGTGTATAATGGAAGAAAAAATTAAAATAGAGGAAAATATAACTGTAAAAGAAGAAATTGTGTCAGACTGAATGGTTATATGAAGGTGTTGTATGGGGGGCTGTACGTAGAAAGAATTTAATTGTAACTTGCTAGAAAATGCCTTCAAAGTTTGTGAACATAAAATGACCGTAACTGTTGCTAGTTACGGTTTTAATGTAGCATCAATTGTGTACTTTTGAATATGCAAACAAACTAGTGTTTTTTTAGTGTAAAAAAAGAAATGAATTCCTTGAGTTTACACTTACTTCGATTGCTGTCTATGTTAGAGTATATTTTCTGGCTCTTATTTTGTTGAAAAGTGATATCGTTTGTAAGTATAATAACGATAATTTGTTATTCATATTAAATTATTATCAATTATTGTCTAGAAATGGTTAAACGGATCATGCTGGGCCATGACCATAGTGTGCTTGCTCATGTCCAGGTACTGATCAAGAGAGGGCCAGGGGAGACCAAGAGTAATTTGCTGGTGGTTCCCAAACTTTTCCCTTCTGGCGCCCCCCTTGGCTTCTAGCTGGATTCCTAGCGCCCCTAGCGGTACCACCTACTTTGGGAACCAATGGCTTAGGCTCTTGTGAATCACTGCATCACCTTACCATAAGGTAAGGTGATGCAGATAAGGTTACCTTACCCTCTCTCTGCCTTCACGTGAGCTGTTGGGATGCTGGATCTATTCTTCGAGCAACTGCTAGAGAGCAGGAACTCGATATCTGTGAAGTGGTGTAGTACTTTTTTTTACAATTATTGTAAACCATGCCTACATTATAAAAAAAAAATCTGCGAGAAGAAGGGTCGATTGAATGGCTTTGGCTGGCTGACGTGCTCGACCATTTCAGGACGCAGCCCCAAAATGGCCTACTGAGTGTGTGTCCTTTGTAAATTATATTTCATGTGATGCATCCTCTTTTTTAGTAAAATAAACACCGTTGATCAATTTTATTGTCTATCCTTACCATCTCATTTTCCTAAATTGCTGTAAATATATATATATATATATATATATATGTATATATATATATATGTATATGTTTGTGTGTGTGTAATCTCTCTCTCTGTCTGTCTGTCTCTCTCTCTCTCTCTCTCTCTCTCTCTCTCTCTCTCTCTCTCTCTCTCTCTCTCTCTCTATCTCTCTCTCTCTCTAGATATATAGATATATAAATGGATATATATATGTATATATATACGCATATATATATATATATATATATATATATATATATATATATATATATATATATATATATATATATATATATGCATATAAATGTATACATAAATACACACACGCACACACACACACACACACACACATTTGTATATATATACTTACATATACATATATATGTATATATATATATATATATATATATATATATATGTATATATATATATATATATATATATATGTGTACATATATATATATATATATAATATATATATAATATATATATATTATATATATATATATATAATGTATATATACATATATATATTTGTAATATACTAAAGACTAAAAGGTAGGTACAACGTAAAGATTGTTCAAGTCTATGCTCCAACCTGCAGCCACATTGATGAAGAAGTAGAAATATCCATTTAGCCAGCGAGAGAGTAAAAATCCATTTCACAATAATCATGGGAGACTTTAATGCCAAAATATGTAAGTAGGCAGAGGGAGAAACCGTAATGGGGAATCACGGAAAAAGGCACTAGGAATGAGAGGGGACAAATTTTAGTCGATTTTCCAGAGGCTCGGTCACTCAATATCATGAATAAATTCTTCGAAAAAGACTAGAACGGAAGTGGACATGGAAGTCGCCATCTGACATTAAAAACGAAATTGACTTCATAATTTCAAATAGGCGCGATATTGTAAAAAATGTGATATTTTTTAATAAAGTAAATGTTGTCAGCGACCATAGGTTGGTCAGAGGCCAAATTAGATTACACCTCAGAAGGTAAAGGAAAAAACTCATACGAAAACCGCAACCAAACTTAGCCAACTTGAAGACCAGAGCAACAGAATTTAGCATTAATATCCAAAACAGATATTCACTTCTCAGCGACGAAGATCTCAACATTGATCGAATCAACAAAGGCTTCCGCAGTGGATTCTCAACCACATACACACGCTCACCCAAATAAGAGAAAAAATAAACGATTATAGGAAACCCCTGTGTATGGCATTCATCGATTACGAAAAGGCATTTGACTTTGTAGAAATACCAGCAATACTAGAAGCTATTCGAAGGCAGGTAGTAGAGGAGGTATATTGTAAAATATTGGAAGATATATACGAAGATGGGACAGCAACCATCAAGCTCCACAAAGAAACCGATAAAATCCCAATTAAAAAATGTGTTAGACAGGGCAATGCCATCTTACCAAACCTGTTTACAGATTGCCTTGAAGAATTATTCAAGAAGCTAGAATAAAACGGAAAGGGTATCAAAATAGGGGACGAATACCTAAACAATCTAAGATTAGCAGATGATTTTGTTCTCTTCAGTGAATCTACAAATGAAATGCAGCAACTAATAAATGACCTGAATAGAGAAAGCCTGAAAGTCGGACTTAGGATGAACAAGAAAAAGACAAAGATCATGTTCAACAGTAGAGTTCAATTCGAACAGATACATCTTCAAAGCAAAGCGCTAGAGGTGGTAGACAAGTATATATATAGGGCAACTTGTACAGACAAACATCTAGCAAAGAGGAAATTAAGCAACGCATCAGTCTAGGCTGGAGCACCTTCGACAGACACAGTAGCATACTAAGAGGCTCCTTGCCATTATGTTTAAAAAGAAAAGCCTTTAACCAATAACATAACATAACATCCTCCCAGTTATGACCTATGGATCAGAAACATGGACTATGACCAATAACTGAAGAGGAAACTAATAAGTACCCAGAGAGGGATGGAGAGGTTGATGCTGGGAATTAGCTTTAGAGATTGGATGAGTGCGACGTGGATCAGGGAACAGACAAAAGTGGAAGATATACTCAGGAGCTTCTAAAGGAAAAAGGGCAATGGGCAAGTCATATATGTCGGAGACAGGACAACAGATGGACAAAGAAAGTAACAGACTGGGTTATAGATAAAAAGTAAAAAATGCAAGACAAACAAATTTGGAAAAGAAGCCTATGTCCTGCAGTGGATTGACTCAGGCTGATGATGATGATATGTATATACATGTATATGTGCACACACACATATATACATATATATACACAATATATATACATATGTGTGTGTGTGTGTGTGTGTGTGTGTGTGTGTGTGTGTGTGTGTGTGTGTGTGTGTGTGTGTGTGTGTGTGTGTATGTATGTATGTATATATGTATGCATACACACACAATATGTGTGTGTGTGCATATACGTATGTATATATATATATGTATATATACATTATAATTTTCTTATGTATGGACATTTCAAAAGGGATTATCTTGAACTCCTGATTTATAGAATACACATCTGTAATGGTAAACAAAAGGAACTAGACAGAACCAATAAATAGCATAAAATGATAATAATGATAAAGACCCTCAGGGATAACAATAACAAATGAAAAAAAAAAAATCTTCAACATTGAAATAATACATTTTTATGGGAAAACAGTGCCCCCTTAAATAGTTAAAGTATAGGAGTATAAACTTCAAAGCATTGGACTTAGACTGATGACGTCATTAATCCTCATAGATGCTGACTGGCAGGTAAATCCATGCTGATTGGCTGATTGATTGTCTCTCTTTCTCTCTTGTCCTCTCTCTATCTCTCATTCTCTCTCTTTCTCTTTCTCTCTTGTTCACTCTCTCTCTCTCTCTCTCCCTCTCCCTTCCTCCCCCCCCCCCCCCTTCTCTCTCTCTCAGGAGCGTCATTTCACCTACTAACTCTCCGAAAATTGTTTATGAAAAATTATCCTTCTAGGAGCATTTTTAAGCTATGACCAGTGCCCCCCCCCTCCAGAAATAAGATATGCCCTCTCTCTGTCTCGTCATATTTCTGTCTACGTTCAGAGCCCCCCCCCCACACCATGACGCCCTTGCTCTCCCCCACGTCATTTCAGCTTTTACTGGGGGGGGGGGGGGTAAGGCTGGCGAGTGAACAAAGCACAACCAGTTTCTATGTCACTACCAGCTCTCCGAGAATTCTTTTTGAAAAATTACTATCCTAGGAGCATTTTAAAGCTACGATCAGAGCCCCCCCCCCCCTGCTCTCTATCTCTCACTCACTCACTCATTCATTCTCTCGCCCTTTCCTTCTTCTTCTTCTCCCTCTCCCTCTCTCTCTTCACATACCCACCCACCCCTCTCTGCCAGTGTCTCTCATTTGGGTGCATGCGCCTCTACATGGAAATAAAGAGAGGACATTTTTTTTTTTTAACTATATACAGATACTAACAAGATGAAGCATAAACTAGAGTAGTTCGGGGCAAAACGAGTCAGAAAACGACAAAATGCACAAAGTTTTCCAAAAATGAATAACTCAGCAGTTTTTCACTTAAAATAACAACAGCGACTATTTATTCATCACATATAATCATGATTTTGATGAAATAATCAACAATTTTAATTTTATGATCTGTTTTAAAAATATGGCATGATGACCCATTTTACCCCGCCATCTGGGGTAAAACGAGTCAGTTTATAATATCTTCTGTAAATACAGAAATAGATTGGCACACCAAAAACTTTAACTGCCTTTCTGAGAGACATTTTTTTTGAACAGCCTCAATTGCCTGCTTCATCTGATCTCCATGCCAGTTTGCACGGTTGGTTTTCCGAACGTAATTACTCATGACTTTTGGTAACAGATACACAACTAGAAAAAAATAGACATAAATGTTCAATTCTTGTGGTAGTGGTACGAAACTTATGTTTGAAGAGACTCAGAAAAATGCTTCCTATCAATTCCGCAATGTTTCTTAGATAAAAATTATGACAGGCCTAAAATACTCAAAATAGAATATTGTCCGACTCGTTTTACCCCAAACGACATATCAAAATTGAAATTGAAGTTTTTCATAAATAGGTTTAAAATTACCATTTCGAACATATGTCAACTCATTTCTACGTGTTTTTATTGTAAAAAAAAAAAAAAAAAAAAAAAACTAATTAAAGTCTGAGGTTGAAACAGACAAAGCGTCCTATAAGTTGAAAGTCGATTTAGTAAAAAATATTCTTTTACTCTTGAAATATTTAACAAATATTGCCTCACTCACCTATTTTGTCAAGAGCGTAACATAAACCGCGAAAGGAGTTTAGGCCGATCAATTGTGTTGTTGGTAACTTATCACCATGGTAGCATGCGTGCTTTCGTATCCCACAATGCCTTGGGTCGTTTTTATCGGTCTTTTTTTATATTGACCCTTTTTACCCGACTGACTCGTTTTGCCCCGAACTACCCTACATAAATCGATCAGCACTTATTATCATATTCTTAGCTGCCGTGGTTGGTGTTTTCGTAAATTTGTATCAGTTTCATCCTCGCAATGAGGAGAGGTCTTACCTTGGTTATATGGCAATTACGCATCGTCCGATTACAGTAACGACAAACATTTTTTGTTATTTCATCAGCTTTATATGAACATGTTTATTTAATTCCATTCATTTTCCAAAATTTCTCTTAGATTTTATAATATTTATTGCTATCAAAGCCATATTACATGTTCAACCTGCATACAAACACATGTTATTGTTAATATACATTTACCCTCTGTCTCTATCTATCTACTCTCTCTTCTCTTCTCTCCCTTTTCCTTAAAAGCATTCGCAAGCAGGGAATGTGATGAAACATGCACCAATCATTCAGTCTCTCTCTCTCTCTCTCTCTCTCTTTCACACACACACACACACACACACACACACACACACACACACACACACACACACACACACGTACACACACACACACACACACAGAATAGAT